CTCTGAACACACGCCTTCTTTTTCTTTGAAGCTGTAGATACCATGTTTCTCCCCTAAATACTGCAGCATGCATCACTCACGTAACTATAATATCACCCAACAGCAAATCCACATTCAAAGTTCCCTACTTGTATTTTTTTTTTTTTTTTTTTGAGACAGAGTCTCACTGTGTTGCCTGGGCTAGAGTTCTGTGGCGTCATCCTAGCTCACAGCAACCTCAAACTCCTGGGCTCAAGCGATCCTTCTGCCTCAGCCTCCCAAGTAGCTGGGACTACAGGCATGTGCCACCATGCCTGGCTAATTTTTTTTTCTATATATTTTTAGTTGTCCAATTAATTTCTTTCTATTTTTAGTAGAAACGGGGTCTCACTCTTGCTCAGGCTGGTTTCGAACTCCTGAGCTCAAACAATCCGCCCGCCTCGGCCTCCCAGAGTGCTAGGATTACAGGCGTGAGCCACCGCGCCCGACCCCTACTTGTATTTTTTTAGACAGAGTCTCACTCTGTTGCCCAGGCTAGAGTGCAGTGGCGTCAGCCTAGCTCACAGCAACCTTGAACTCCTGGGCTCAAGCAATCCTTCTGCCTCAGCCTCCCAAGTAGCTGGGACTACAGGCGCTCACCACAACACCCGGCTATTTTTTTGTTTCTATTTTTAGTTGTCCAGTTAATTTTTTCTATTTTTAGTAGAGACAAGGGTCTTGCTCTTGCTCAGGCTGGTCTCAAACTCCTGACCTCAAGGGATCCTCCCACCTCGGCCTCCCAGAGTTCTAGGATTACAGGCGTGAGCCACCACGCCAGGCCCTTACTTATCTTTTATAGCTGTTTTTTCCTAAACCAAAGTCCAATCAAGAATCACACCTTGCTTTTGGTTATGTCTCTGGTTACCTGGAGTGGAGCTTCTCAAACTTGAAGGTGCACACGAATCACCTGGGGATGTTGTGAAGATGCGGATTGTGATTCCAGAGGTTCAAGTGGGGCCCAAGAGTCTTGATTCTAACAAACTTCCAGGTGATGGCAGTGATGCTCCTGGTGCAGGACCACACTTCCAGCAGCAAGGCTAGAACAGACAGTCTCCGTCCTATTTTTTCCCCCTCATGACACTGACTCCTTAGAGAGTCCAGGACTGTTTCTTGTAGAATGACCCACATTCTCCTTATTCCACCATGCCCTTGACTTTTCTCTCTCCTCTGTATTTACCGTGCACTGGAAATTAGGCGTAGAGACTTGCTTAGTTTCCGTTAAGGCATTTTTGGCACATGTACTTCACCGTGCATCCCAGCAGGAGGTGCCAGATGCTGGTTATCCTACCAAGGCTGTGCTAAGGCTGTACCACCTGGTTAAGGTGATGGCCAGATCTTTCCATTGTAATTTTTTAAATAGAAATAAATAACCTAACTGCGTATCAAATGGATAACATTAACGACACAGAGAAAAAAATGATTTCGAGTTCTCTGACAGGGTGAGGCCAACTCCCTCTGGGCCACCTCCCCTGAGCCACGGTCCGGCTGCTCTTAAGAGGAGGGCATCTCTCGCCTGCCCCTGTTACCTTTGCTCACCTAGATCCCAAAGCAGGGCTGCCTTACAGTGACAACGGTGTCTACACCAACCGCCACAGTAAGGCACATTCCGTTTCTGAATGCTAACTGTGCACCAGGCAGCGTGACAAACACTCTAAGGTAAGAGCAATGGAAGGAATGTTTGTGTCCCTCAAAATTCATATATTGAAACCCTAACCCCTAATGTGATGATGTTAGGAGGTGGGGTCTTTGGAAGGTAATTAGGTCATGAGGGTGGAGCCCTCATGAATGGGATTAGTGCCCTTATGAAAGGGGCCCCAGAAAGCTCTCTAACCCTTTTCCCGCTGCATGAGGACACAATAAGGCAGCAGTCTGCAACCCACATGAAGGCCTTCACCAGAACCCAACCAGGCTGGCACCCTGATCTTGAACTTTCAGCCACCAGAACTGTGAAAAATATATTTCTGTTGTTTATAAGTGTAAAAAGGAAACTAAAGTCTCAAGGCCACCCTGCCCCCCAACTCTTCATGCAAAAGAGAAGGTAAAGCCTCAGGCACCTGTGAAGAATGGGCCCCACAGATCATTCATTAAGAAAACTCCTTGCCGACCTCCCATAAACAAGGACATATAAATTATAACTATGTCTAGCAGCTGAAACTAAAGCCTACTCAATGCTACACTAATAATGAAATACACGTTTACTTTACAGGTAACAACCAGAGACAAGACAGAACCAGACATTCTTCCACCCACCCAGGGACATCTGCATAACCGATGCTTCCTTCACTCCCCTTTTCTCTTCTAACATTTCCCTTATTTTCTGTAAAATGTAGATTTCTTGGGCCTCACAGGAATGTTACCACTTTGCCCGATCAGCGCCCCCGTCCACACACACACACACACACACACACACCTTTTTCCTTCTGTCTGTTGCCTTTGAAATGCTGACGTTTCCAACCTCCCCTTTAGAAAAACAGCCATAGCTCGTCTGCAGTTCGTGTTTTTCCTGGGCACGTCCTCAACTTCGGCTTAATAAACTTCCATTGATTGACATTTTTGCCTCAGTCATTTACTTGGATTGACACAAGCCGCTCGGCTAATGGACATTTGTTTTGGCAGCCCGAGTAAGACAGTGAGTATGATTAGCCGTATTTTATACATCAATTAAGCCACTAGCTCAAGGTCGCCATGGCGTAAGGATTTTTCCCTGTAGGTGCCTGGCAGAGCAGGAATAAAAACCAGGCTGTGTGACTCCAAAGCTCATGTGCTGGGCCACTCCGCCACCCCCCGTGTCTCACGGCCGCACCTGGGGAAGGTAATACTGACAGCTGAGGCTTCGCCACCTCTTCTCTCCCTGACCTGCTGCAAGGAAAGGTCTCCCCCGCCTGCTGTGATGAGGCCTTTATCACCAGGTCAGAATCACGTACGGAGGAGGCCTGAAGCGAGAAAGCGCAGCTGGGTTCATGATGGGGAAGGCAAGAGAGGAAAAAAGGATACAGAAAGTAGAAAGGAGCTCAGGATACAAGGGGGCCGGTGGGACGTCTGTGGCAGAATTTTGAGATGATTAACGAATGGGGACGGCGTACGCTTTGCAAGCAGCTGCAGTGCATTGGTAGATACGTATTGAGAGAGAGAAAGATGGAAAGAGGGTTTGGAGTTTTGTGACCTTCCTTGGCTGCATTCTCAAAAGAAAGCAGCAAAGATATTAGTTGCTTATCAGTTGTGATTGGATACGCAAAACTGTCCGATGTCTCTTTGAATGCAACCCTGTACCATAGACCGGATAAATGGCTGAGCTTTAGAGAGATCTGGAGAGATCTTCGGGGAGCAGCTATTTTGTTTGGTCCCAGCCCCCTCTTTCCGGGAACTTTAGTGAGAGGCCATGGACCTGATGTGTGAGAGGCAGAGTCTTGACCGCAATCAGATTTGCCCCTTTTTCTAACATTGATCTGTTGTCACTGGATCTTACTTTATGTCCTTATGTATGTCTTTCAACGAGTTTTATTTTTTGAGACGGGGTCTCGCTCTCTTGCCCGGGCTAGAGTGCAATATCATCATAGCTTACTGCAACCTCAAACTCCTGGGCTCAAGCGATCCTCCTGTCTCAGCCTTCCGAGTAGCTGGGACTACAGGCACGCGCCACCACACCCGGCTAATTTTTCTATTTTTTGTAGAGACTGGGTCTTGCCATGTTGCTCGGGCTGGTCTCGAACTCTGGCCTCAACTGATCCTCCTGCCTGAGCCTCCCAAAGTGCTAGAATTACAGGTATGAGCCACCATGCTGGCTTCAATGAGCTTTTTACATTGTTATTCTAACTAAAGGAACTTCTGTAGAGGGCCCATGTAGAGGCTCCCAGGACACAATCCGATGCATCTGAAACGCAGCTCAGGCGCAAGAGAGACAACAGATACATTTCGTTTACATTTTGAAACTGTTTAGTGCATTAAGGGCAAGACTCTTAAAGGGTGTCTTTTTCGGGGGGCAAATGTGCACAGCATATAGCATCAGTAATAATGGTAATGCTGCCACTACTACTGACAGAACCAACAATAAAAGCTAACACCAAATGTTAACTACCATATACTCTAAACTGTATGTGGCTCATCACATTCTGTCACCACAACCCCTCTGAGGTGAGCTCTACGTTTATGCTCATTTTGCAGATGAAGAAAATGAGGCTTAGAAAGATAAAACTGTCCACGGCCGCCCAGCTGGCGAGTACCAAGAAAGCAACCTCAATCCAGGTCTGTCTGTGGCCTGTTATCTCAATTCAGAATTAGTATCGATTCCATCCCCCAGTGAGAAAGCCGGCTGTCCCCTCACCACACCTGTGCCTGGACATCTTCGCTCAGCGCCTGTGAACAGTCAGGGCTGTGTTTCTGGGTGCCGTGATCTAAAAGTGACCAGATCTTTGCAATATGTTGACTGAGGGCCCCTAACTCACACGGCAGCCTTGACTCTCTCTTTCTTCTCAAGAGGCTCTGCAGCTGGTGACTGTACCGGGACCCTTACCACTGGCCTGAACCCCTCTCTGCCCCAGGCCCAACTCCTCTCCCCGGGGGTCCTAAGGAGGCGGCAAGGATCTCTTCTCCACCCCAACCCTCCCCAGCAGGGCAGAGTGAAAGATGAGCAAAGAATTCCCTGAGCTCAGTTTTTAGACTTAAGAAATAGAGAAGTTTATAAATATAGATTCAATTTCCTTCCGCTGCAATGCCGAAGTGTGTTTATTATTCTGATACTTGGAACTCAGAGCATCTTTTTCCTACGAAACCATATGATGCATAGCGGGCAGGTTCCCATTCCAGCCCACGTAAATAACAAATCCACAGTGCAGCTAAAACAACACTCATTTACAAGGAAAGGTTGGGGACAAATACCTTTCCCAATACTCATTTTTTTAAAAAAAAAAAGAATAGAAAGAAAATGTAAGTAAGAAAGTTTGTATTTATTAAAATGTGTTGATTTGGAGAAAAGAATGTTTAGAGAAAACTAAAGACAGAGATGGAAGATTTTGGAGATTCCAAAAGAGACTTCTGGGTATTTCAGTGGACTTCAGAGGCCGAAGACATCAGTTCTTGTAACGTCTAATCAACTTTAAGGCAAAGAAAGGCCTTCTCTTTCTCTGAAACAGGGCTGTCACCAGCTCTTGCTCTTATCAATGACACCAAAGGCTTTTCTTGCATTGTGTGACTCACAGATGGAATGAAAAAAGGCAAGAGAAATTTTTCTCAAGGGAAATGAGGAAATAAAAAATAGAAGGAGAAAGAGACAGTGGAAGGGGATGAAGGGGTGAGAAGAGCTGCTTTACGGAAATTACCCGAGCTGTCAGTGTGCCCATGGGTACGACGCCCCCAGGAGGCAGAGGTACGATGGCACCTGTGACCCATCAGTCCCAAACAGCTGTACCATCATGTGGAGAAAAGCCAAAAGTGTGTTTCGTGGGTAGGGTAGAAAAGAAGGGAGACACAGTCAGCCATTGGGTAAACAGCAGTCTTTAAGAAAAAGGAAGCAAACGCTAGTTGTAGTGTTTTCCGATTGCTGTGGCGTAAGCTCACGCACCACAGGCGATTTCAGGCTACAAATGTTTAACACTTAAACTAACTGGCTGGCAAAATTCTCAGATATTTAACAGCTTCCACGAACTGCTACCAGCCAGCTCCAGCACACCACTGGGCAGTGCGGCTGCCCGTTCCTGTGCTCAGATGACACCAGCCGGACCCCTGCTACCCAAGCACACCCTGTCCTGTGCTGTGAGGGTGACATTTTAGTTACTTTGATGGTTACTTATTCAAAACTGGCAGAATATCCCTGAAGTTCAGTTAAAAATTGTATCTCAAAAGCGCACCCTTTCTCTAAAAGCTGCCATAAATCAGAGGGCAGGAGGCCATTTGGTTAGTCTGAATTTAAATTCAAGAGTCCTCACATAGCTGAATTCTTGGGACTATACTACATTTTCTGATGACTTCTTCTTCTATAAGAGTTTTGAAAAAATAAAAGAAAAAGTCAGCAGTGATTTTCTAGAATGGTTTTTAAGACCAGGTCATGTTCTCTGTAAAGTGTTAATGCATTTCCAAAGTGGGTAAGAGAGAAACAGGACTTATCCGATTGACAGGTAGAGTGGCCCCCCCATGGAGTGGAGTGCAGGAGACCCCACGCCCAGGGAGAGCAACTGAGGGACCCGAGAGGGGCAGGCAGAGCCGCCGGGAGGAGCCTGGGCACCGTCCTTGCACAGCTCCCTGAAGGGCTCCTGCCTACACTGTCACCATGATCTGGTCCAGAGGTTTCCGTTTGAGGTCAGGCACTGTGGCCTCTTTGCTGGGGTACCCCACGGGGAGCAGCATCAGCAGTTTTTCATGTGCAGGGCGGCCCAGGAGCACTCTCAGACGAGGGCCACAGTTGAGAGGAGTGGTAGTGACAGTCACCAGCCCCGCATTCTAAAACAGGAGAGGAAAGGATGTGTTGTAAAGCCAGCTGGCAACATCACAGCTCTGCCTCCAGCCTGGGGACCTTCATCCTTAGCACACCTGATCAGCTAATCATTTCCCCAAAGTTGGGCAGCAAAGAGGCTGCCGGCTCAGGTGATGGGTACCATGAACCTCACCTGCGCCCCCAACTTCTCCAGCCACTGACTTCTTTTAACCAAGCAGTGGGAATCTTCTGGAAGCAGAAAAATGCTAGTCTTATTTTTCACTGATGCTTAAGAAATAGGAATGGTTATTTTATGGAAAGAAATTGGGGGAATCCAACTATACCAAAGCAATGGCAAAAACAACAGGCAGTTCCTCTTAGCTAAGGGGTCAGCCTGTTTCCTGGTACAAGACCCACATGATAAGAGCAGTCCACCGAAGCAGGGTTCCAGCCCAAGTTCTACTATAATTTTCTTACTAAATATTCTTTCCTGAATTCTGGTTATCTGCCAGGAATCTATGGGTTGTAATCAGTATCTATAATATTGGCATTTGAAACTATATATACGTGTGTGTACATATATAGTCTTGTGTCAGTTAACAATGGGAATACGTTCTAAGAAATACATTAGGTGATTTCTCCATTGTGTGAACACAATAGAGTGTACAAACTCAGAGGGTACAGCCTATTACACACCTATATGGTGTAGCCTGTTGCTCCTAGGCTACACACCTGTACACATGTAATTGTACTGAATACTGTAGGCAATTATAAATACAATGGTATTTTTGTGTATCTAAACATGGAAAGGGTACAGTAAAAATACTGCATAAAAGATTAAAAATGGCCCAACTGTATAGGGCACTTACTATGAATGGAGCTTGCAGGACTGGAAGTTGCTCTGGGTGAGTCAGTGAGTGAGGGGTGAGTGAATGTGAAGGCCTAGGACATTCCCGTGCTCTACGACAGCCTATAAACACTGTACGCTTAGGCTACACTAAATTTATTGAAAACTTTTTTCTTTATTCTATTATATTATTCTTTATTCTATTAATATAATACATTAACCTTAGCTTACTGTAACTTTTCACTTTATAAACTTTTAATTTTTTTTTAACTGTTTGACTCTTTTGTAATAACACTTAGCTAAAAATAAAACACTGCACAGCTTTACATCCTTATTCTATAAGCTTTTTTCTATTTTGAAAATTTTACTTTTTTTTGACTTTTACCTTTTTTTGCTAAAAACTAAGACACAAACATACACATTAGTCTAGGCCTGCACAGGGTCAGGATCATAGCTCTATTTCTTTTCTATTTGTTCATGTTTTCACCCATTTGTTTATAGAGTTAATGTATCTTTTGCCAATTTGATAATTTATTTATTTATTTAATCTTTTACCTCTTAAACTTTTTTTGCTAAAAACTAAGACACAAACATACACATTAGTCTAGGCCTGCACAGGGTCAGGATCATAGATATCGCTGTCTTCCACCTCCACATCTCGTCCCACCGGAAGGTCTTCAGAAGCAACAACACTCTTGGAGCTGTCGTCTCCTGCATGATAACAATGCCTCCTTCTGAAATACCTCCGGAAGGACCTATCTCCTGCCTGAGGCTGTTTTATGGTTAACTGTCTTTTAATAAGTAGAAGGAGTACATGCTAAATAATGATAAAAAGTACAGTATAGTAAATACATAAACCAGTAATATAGTTGTTTATCATCATGATCAAGTATTATATACTGTACATAATTGTATGAGCTATACTTTTATACAAACTGGCAGCCCAGTAGGTTTGTTTACACCAGCGTCCCCACACACACGTGAGTAATGCCTTGTACTACAACGTTAGGACTGCTACAACATCACTGGGTAATAGGAATTTTCAGGTCCATTAAAATCTTATGGGACCACCATCATATATGCGGTCTGTCGTTGACTGAAATGTCATTATGTAGTGCATGACTATATATATATGGATCTGGAGTGACTTAATATGGTCTCTTGCTGAAGGTCTCTCATGCTACATCATTCTATGCCTTGATTCCCAGAGATTTTATAATGCCAAGTCTCTATTCTCAGGAACACATGCATTGAAAAATCTATTGATTTCTTCTTTCTGTCATCAGCTTTTGTCTCTCCTTTATTATGACATTTCTCTTCCTTTATTATATATTCACATGGTATTTAAATTTGGAATGGATAAATCTTGAACTTTCCACTGAGAAAATATTTACATCTTAATTTGGTGTCATTTTATATTTTGGTCCTTTTTTTAGACATAGCTTTTACCCCACCCTGAATTTTATATATGTTTGGTAGTAGACATTTCTGAATACATAGAACATATTAAGCAGTTTCTCTTAGTAATATTAAGCTGATTTCTATTAGTATTTTATCTTTCAATCTCCCTTGATTTGAGTGCCTTGGTCTCATTACAGGTCGGGAGTTTTTTACCTGAAATCCTCAGACCCACAGAGGACCAAGGATTGAATTCAGCAGGTGTGTGAACTTGGATGGGAAAAAAAAAAGGCATCTTTATATCCACAAACATCTAACTAAAATTTAGCAGTTTCTTCCATTATAAAGGTAGGCAACAAATCACAGTAGTGTTAGCAATATCTATGACTTTGTCACCAATAAAATTCACAGATATTTTCACATCAGTTCATAGTTGTTATAGATCTTAAAATATCATTACATTCATCACTACTTAAAATAATAGGCCTAGATCTTGGTAATTAGATCTTGCTAGATTTTTCTAGATCTTGCTGCAGCTAGATCTTGGTAATTAATGTATTAAAAAGTCTTGCCTATTTTATTTTCAACAACTACAACCACAGGGAGTTCCTACAACTACAGAATCGACATGGAAGCAGAGCCTGATGCCCAGTGAAAATGCCAAGGCCCAATGATGGGGGACCCAGTGGCCAAGGGGTGCCCCATCCACCTCTCTTCAAGCCTCCAAGCAGTGAACATCTAAGTAAAAACATGCATGGCTTCCAGACACTTCCCCAGCTGCCCCTCTCCAGCTTTTCCAATGAAATCACCACCCACTAAGGCTGAGAAGAAGTTCTGGAAGTCGCCTCTACCTGTCATGTGTGCCTCACCAGTCACCAAGCTCGAGATGGGGGCTCCATGAAGATTTCTCTCTCCTCCCTCACAAATCACGAGCTGCCCACAGAACTGTGCCTTGTGGGAAGCTAGAGGGCAGCAAACTCAACAGTAAAGCGAAACGGACTGAGCCTGCGGCTTCACCGTACAGAGCCACGTGGTGCGCCGAGCTCATTCTGGGCTTAAACTGCTTCTTCCGTGACCCTCAAACAGATGGGGTGTCCTGAGGTCTGATGCTGCGCAGTGACTCCTTTATCTGATTGCAGACTCAGTAGGGAAATCAAATGCCAGCTCCTTCAAGACAATTTTTCATACAATCTGAAAACACTTCTGTTGTGTAACGACGACTGTATTTTTTGCAAGGTGTTACTCAGCACACGCATTTTTCTTTGAGATAGTGAATAAGCTCATTGATTTTTTAATCAATTGTCCCTTGAAGGTATGATCACTCCCTCTTATAATCTTGTTTGCCGTATTTGTGTTATGTGTTTACCATCTCTCTCACCCCCTACCCAGCCCCCAGCCCCCACCAGAATGTACGGTTCACGAGACCAACTACCCCAGTGCCTCTCAGGAACTCCCACGTAGGAGGCGTTCAGAAAATATTTGTTGAGTGAATGAATTGAGTAGTTTGAAAGGTACAGAATTCAATCCTGCTCTGTTTCTTGTTAGCTCCCTAGCTGACTTGTAGATGGAATTTTTTTTAAGCCCACTGTCATCTTTCTAACACAATACCATGCAAACTTCTCAGCACAGGAGCTCTAGGAAAGAGTCCTCCTTGTGGCTTTTTAATCATCCCTTCAGCTCAGACAGCAACAGCAAACACATCCAGGGAGTTAGTCTCCGTGACTTTCAGGCTTGGAAATTTCTCATGTGTGTCTGCCCAAACCCTTGGAACTTGTTGTAACAGATGTAGCCAACCGCAACAACAATTTTTCTAACCCTGAAACGACATTACAAGTGCATTTCCAGGAAGAATTCCAGCTTGTTGAACCATGGTGCTCACCAGCCAGGTTTCCAGAAGTCAGTTTCCACACTGGAGTTACCTTACTTAGGAATTCAGCTTTAGATAAAACAATCTCCAAATGTCCCTGAATTTAAAACTTAGCTGCAATGTTCTAATAAGGTCACCCTTTGGTCCTCAAGTCTCACTTCTCTTTTTTGGGCCTGGCGGGAGAGCAACGTACCTGCAGGGCGGCTAACAGGATGCCACAAGCGATGGAAACACTGATCTCATTGTAGTAATGGACCTTTTTCTTGCCATTTGCAGCAAAACCATGTACTTGTTTGAAAACGAGAATCAAAACAGGAGCGGTGTCCAAGTACTCTTTAATCCAGTTGGTTCTGGGGACAGAAGAGAGATCCAGGAGAATATTTGTTCTTATTTTTCGTTCTGTTTTTACTACCTTAGCTTATTTATGATAAAAATAAAAACATGCTTACTTGTCTTTTTTACTAAATTGAAAAAGTGCAGAATTTTTGTTTGCGCCTTGTTCATCTTTTTCTGTTGAAAGAGCTTAGGAAATTTCACCCCAAAATCTGAGTCCTTGGTATAAAGTATATTTTGAATTAAAGACCCTTAGAGATCAACAGGCCCTTGGAAGGGGCTTTCTCTGTATCGGCAGAACCAGACGGACCCATCAAAAAAACTGTTGACTTTCCCTTCCCCTTTTGTGTTATTTCAATACATCACAGGAAAGAAGATCAAAAAGGAAACCAGACCTGGCCCAAACCATTTAAACATAACAGCTGTCTCTCAGGTTAATTTACAAGCCAATCTGTTTCCCCATCCATTCATCCTCCCTAGCAACCATGTATTGCCCCTAAACAGAATTACCTATGTTCCTCATCTCCCCTCTCCTCTAAAAGGAGGGTATAAAAATTTCTGGACCCCACTGGGATATTGGGTAATCACTCTGTGATTCTTCCCAGGAGTGCAGTAAATAAACTTCTTTCTCTTATTAATCTGCCTTATTTGCGAGTTGACCTTTTAGTGAACCTTTGGCGGAAAGGGGCAGTTTCCCCTCACCCCCACACTGTCCAAGATCATTCAATTCAATAAACATGTATTAATAAGGGCCTAGTACAGCAAGACATATGAAATGCTGAAAGATACAACGGCAAATCCTGTAACTTAGAATGCACTAAGACAATATTCAGTAAAATGAAACCTGGTAAGTGCTATCAAAGAAGTATAAACCAAGTGCATTGGGAGCCCCTCAAAACTGAAATGTTAATTCTGAATAAGAAGATTGGAAGAAAATTCCCAGAAATGGCCTCAAGGCACTGAAGGCCAGGGCAGGAAAGGGGGATTGGGGAAGGCGCCCCAGGCAGAGCCAAGGGATGAGCTGGAGCACAGGAGGCTAAACTGAAATCGCGGGTGGGCAGATGGCAGTGCAGTGTGCCCAGCTGTAGAAAAAAGGAAGGGAACTTCTGTGGGAGTGGGAGGTCATTCGTGTGACGCATAAATATGGAGTGGAAATTTTCATTTTCCAGCTTAAAATCTCTCTTTCTTGATTCCATTACCCTGTCCCATACATTTTGGCAGAGGTTTCATTCTAGCACAGATATTCAAAAGAGAGATAGTCATGCAATGCCATATATCGTAATTTTCCTTAGGATATATCATTTCATTAATTAGCAAGAGATGGTCACCATTCGCTTCCTCTCTGGCCTAGTTATGGCTTCGCTGTTTTTGAAGTACAATAAACTCACTGTGTATTTTTCCATGGTTCCTCTTAGACTAGTGACATTTACAGGTTACACTTTCAAAGCTACTTTACCATACTTCGGCCAGCTTAGTCACGTTTGACTGCTATTGATTCTCTTCTCCTGACAAAGAGGGAGAAATGTTCCTGGTTTAGAAGATCCACTTGAGCCAAACAAGCTTGGCCATGCTGGGCAAGCCACTTAACCTCCCACGGCTCAGTTTCTTCCCACGTCAAATGTCTCGTGTCGAATGTGCTGTTGTGCGCCCATCCCTGTGGTCACTGCTAAATCATGGAAATATCAGTCCAGAAGAACCCCTTTTAACCCACCTTCCTGACTCACCGGATGAGTGATCACCCTCCACTCCCTCTGGGGCACACAGACTGTGCCTTCAGTGCCTGGAGCTGCTCTCCAGGGCGCCCAGCAATTCTGTAGCCCCCAGTTGAGTCGAATGTTGTCAAGAGACTGTTGTGTGTGTTCCCCAAACTGGGTTCTATTAGATAAACCTGTGTTCTGCACAGATATGTCCATAATTTAAAATTCTGATGTCTGTATTGTAAAGGAAAATATATGAATCTCAGGACTCCCCAAAACTCATTAGGCCTAAAAGGAGAACTGAGCCTGAGAAGTGAGGGACAGAAGCACTGCCATCCTCTTGAAACTGCTCTTTACAAATTAATAAAGGGGTGCCAGGGGAGAACTGTGGCGAGGGTCTACACTCTGCAGAGGCACAGGCATAGCTAAAAATAATGATAACCAGCCACTGTCCCCTAGCTTGCTTTCCTATAATTGCTATTCAGGAGTCACATTGCTGATGGTCATAAAGATTTTTAACTTTCTCCATAGATGACATCAGCTTTTCTAAACCTAAGGGTCGTTTTTGAGGTATCTTCCAGGCTCTGTATTCGATGGCTGACCGGTGACCCATCCCTAGGAACAGACTCAACTGGTCTTGCAATCCCCACCCAGGAACTGACTCAGCACAATAAGACAATTTCTACACCCCTGTGATTCCACCCCGAACCCAGCTAATCAGCAGACCCGGCACAAAGGTGAGAGAGCAATTAATTCTGCCACAGCTGAGGAAAGTGTGTGAGGGACAATAGTATTTTGTAGGTACTGTGCACATCTAGCATATAGCATCTCTCTAAGTATAGAGACTCGACTTTTACCTATCCTGGTTCATCCCAGGAATACGCAGTAAGATTTATATACTCACTGTTACTTCCCCCACACTTGCTCCAGAGCACAGAGATAAGTTACAACTCCATAAGACATCAATCTTGATAAAGTTTAAATGTCTTTGGAGAAAATTGTCTTCTGGTCCAAAGAACTAAAAAAGGAGCAGGGCCAAGAGGCCACCTTCTCATCACATCCACTCCACCCGTCCAGTGAGAAGTGCCCCCAAGGCCCTAAATCGGCAGTCCCACCATCCTTTCTTAGGCTTGTGCCACTGTGGAGTGTGGGGTGGCTGGTGTCACACTAGCCACTGAAGGCCCACAGCTGACAGCCAGAGGCATTAAGTATCTCTTCCGAGCATTCTCAGTGCCAAGGACTCAAGCTGGTCCCGCAGGGCCCCTGGAGAGGTCAGGGTCACTGTCACCACCCACAATGCCCCCTCATGCTCAGCCTAGGAAGAGAGCGGGCAGGGAAGGACATCGTCTTGGAGGCATCGCAGCGAAACTAGGTGCACTGAGTTCCCTGCCACTTCTCTCCTGGAGTGGAGGAAGCCCACAAAGTTACTAACACCTCACAGATATCACACTTGTGCCAAACTTGTCCTAAAGCTATAGCCTGCTTAGTAACGTCATCTGGAACACCTGATCATGTTAGCAAAACATTATCTGCTTTGCTCAAGATCTTGAGAAGTATTTCACAATCTTATGTTCCAACATGGGTGAAAAGTGAAGTGATTTCTCAAAGTTTTATTTACTAAGCAACTATTTGGGTCAGAGCTTACTTATTCACCACAGAATCACATGGCAATACAGGGGCAGGGCCTGATTTAGCACCCATAATTCCTCACGGAGCCAGAGTCAAACTTTCATCACTTACAATGGAACCAGGAAATGGCAGTGGTAGTTCCTTCACCTTAAGAGGCCAAACCAGACATCCCTAATGTCACCAACTTTTGTACCTCAGTTTCTTCAGGTCCGTAACCCATCGGTGCCCCATTCTCTTCATGTAGTTTATTTCTTCTTCCTCCTCTACGATCTTGCGAATCTCGTGTTTCACGTCTGGGTCCTTAACAACCACGAAGGTCCAGGGCTCCGTGTGGGCCCCACTTGGGGCTGTTCCTGTCACCCATCAAGTCAAAATGAGAAATTAAAGCTGCAGGGAAGTATGAGACTGTTAGTTAATAATAAATATAATTAATGCTTGCTCAAAATGAAGTGCTCGGCTGTGGGCTCTGGTGGGCGCTGCGGACTCTGTTTTGTTCAGTATCCTCTGGGTGTCTCCCAGCCAACTTGTCAAGGTCAAGACCAGTAGTTCTGGGGCTGTGGCAACCTATCCCTGCTTCTCTAGTTATGTGGGAAAAAACGTCCCTGCCTAACTGCACCACAACCACTAAGGAGAAAAACTAGGAGGGCAAATTCTGACAGCCAGAATTCTCTAGACTGTCATTTGTTTTGATATTCCTGAAAAAGGATAACGTCAGGAAGCTTATTGGAAAAGGTAAAATGTACATGGTAAAATGGTTTTAAAAACATTCCTGAAAAGGCAACTAAAATGGTTTCATGCCTATATCAAAACTCTGAGCATGACACTGTAAGGTTTGTGGTCTCATTGGGGACACACGAAAGTTGGGGAACCCTTGGTCTTGAGCACTCAATATGCACAGCTATGTGTCTTCTACTCCTGGGGGCTTCAGCAATTCTTGGCCCACAGCTCAATCAGTCCCAGTGTCCCAGGACAAAGTTCCATGGTGTGTCATCTTTGTCCAAGGAGCTTAAGTTCCCTTGAGATTCCAGAGAGGGCTTGGACCAGCTTCTGACCTGGGTGTCACCACCTGGTGCTAGAGATGGCCTGCTATTCCCAAGGGCAGACCACAGTGACCATAGGTGGGATATGTCAGAAAGGCCTATTCCTTCTTTCCTTATTCCTTTGTAATGTAACAAATTCTACCTCTGGAGGGAGTAAGGCCTGCAGGCTCTTGACAGGGTTCTTGTTGGCCAGACACCACTGCCAACACTAGAAGTCATGATTAGCTTGGAAAATATAAGGCAAAAGCTAAACATGAGGCCCAGATTTCTGCACAGAGTAATTCTGGTTAATTTTGTATCCATTTTATTTGTCTACTAAATATTTGTGTCTCTAAATACAAGAAATAAATTTCTCCCTAATGTTTTAAATTGTGCCAAATTTACCTTAACATCATATATGTACACAGATATACACAGATATAGATAAATGGGAAATTTAGTAACTGCTGTTAGTTAGATAAAGGACTCAAAAATCCAGTCCATTTATATCCTTAATGGAAATGAAATATTTTATTCTTGCTTTCTTTTAAGTTTGACAATGGATTCATAATGAGAATGCAATAATTCCTGAAAATAAACTTAAATATGGTTTACATTCAAAAGAGACTTTCAAGTAGGGGGCTTTCTCTTATATCTCCTCCCCTTTTTCTGTAGTTATTTATTTTTTTTCCCTCTGTGGAGATATTATTTACATTGGCAACGTGTTTATCTTGCTTTGGTTTACTTTGTAAATTCATACAAGTAAATTTTGCTAGTGCATTAAAATACTATAGAGCACCATGGTGTGTAATATAAGAAATTTTCTTCCAAAAAGACAAATGTGTAAATGTGAGTGTGTGAGAGTGTGTGTTTGTAGTATGTTTTAACGGGAGGGGAAAGAAAGAGGATGTTTCTCTTTGAATATATGATGATGTGTTTAGAAATTTTAGTTTTCAGTAAAAGCTCATAATACTGAATAATTTCAGAAGTTTTGAACTATTATCACATCTGCTTCCAAGATGTTTATAATAGTCAAAATGTAGAAAGTAGAAATCGTTATGTTTCTGGCAGTCACTCAACACTTGGGTAAGACTTTATAGGAAAACATGTCACTCTAGGCTTTATTCACTGTTTGAACTTCAACATTGCTCCAGTGTTGGAGTCACACCAGCAGGCCAGCTGACATTCTCAAAGACCCAATGTGCAACTACAAACCTGCTGCCTTGATGACATTATCAATGACTTCCATTGGGATTTGCTCATTACATATGAACCGGACTGACCGTCTCTTATTGAGAAGTTCATAAAATTCCTGGGATCTCTTAGTCATTTCCTTCTCAGGATAGCGGGTGTGGGAGAATGGAATGTGTTCAACATTTTCCTCTGATTCTTGCCACTCATCAGCATCTGCAAATAAGAATAAGAAAGGTAGCAAATTAAATGATCTCTCTTGGTCAAAAGATGGCCAGTGGAGAGAAGAAGATAAAGTTCTCAAAAATGTCTGTAGGGTTATGAGCTAAAAAAATAAATAATTAATTAATTTAAAAAACCCAAACCCCCCCAACCAAAAGACCAACACAAAAATTGCATAAAAACAATAAATATTAAAAAGAATAGATTTATAGAATTCTGATCACTGATCTTGACTATCCTTTGAACTCCAGATTTGTTACATTTATTGTAAATCAAGAAAAAGAAAATTTTTACCTACAGAAAGATGAGAAATTCAAATTTCTGTTAATGGTAGACCAAGTTATTTGAAACAATTTCTCATCAGTGGAAAACCACTCAGATCACTAAATTAGATATTTTTAAAATCATAGTAAGAAATTTCCAGGCCAACCTGAAAGGAAAATACAAACCTACACAGGTAAATAAACACAGAAGCTACATTTTCCCTGATTGTATTTGCCAGTCCCTACATATTTGAATTTCCATTTTTATATCTTCAGGGATCAGGGGTGACAGAAATCAAAGCCCAGGCCCACACACAATGGGAAGTCTAATAAGCTGGAGCCCCAAGACTATATCCTTAGGGAAACTGTGAATGATAAATAAATCACCCCTCAAGGGCTTATATCATTTTGATGGGTCTTGCCTCAAACTTGAACTTGGAATAAGGTTGTCCTGCCTGGAAGTACTCCAGTTGCCTAGCAGAAGCAAATACCAATATACAGATCATTTTTAATACAATCACCAGCAACCCACCAAATGCAATCAGGCACATAAAGAACCACCTTAAACAAGAAATAGCAGAATCAATTTTTAAAAATAAAGTCAGATGACTAGAGACTTCAAATATTAGAATTATCAGACTCAGAAGATAAAACAACTATAATTACTATGTTTACAGAAAAAAAAACAAACATAAATCTGTAGGGTATAGGAAAGGATAAAAATTAACACAGAAAATATGAAAAATAGAACTTCTAGAACTGAAAAATAATAGAATTAAGAACTTAATGGATGGATTTACTAGGAGGCAAGACTAACTAAAGAAAAATTAATGAACTGGGAGATAGGTTAGAGGAAGGTACTGGAACAGGGCAAGAAGAGGCCAAAAGATGGAAAGCATAGAAGAGCAAGAAAAAACAGAGCAGAGTGAGAATGTCCAACATACATTTAATCATTTGATTCAAAGAGAATGTGGCAGAGGCAGCATTTGAAAAGGTAGTGTCTGAGATTTTCCCAGAACTGATGAAAAATATCAAATCTGCAGATTCCAGAAGCCCAGTAAATTCTATTTTTTTTTTTTTTTGGACAAGAACTTTTATTTATTTTGTAATGACATTAAACACAACTGCTGCAAGGGGGGAAAAATATTGTAAGGAGGAGGCACCAAATTTTAGTTCCGTAATTGACCCTAATAACAATGCAAGTAATCCAGGAATCACATTAGATTCAAAACTACAGGTTATTTCAGGCTCCTTACTTACAGGTAAACTATATAAATAGTACATTTTTACTCTGAGACCCAGTAAACTATAAACATTATTAAAACAAGAGACCCACACATTTTACAATCAAATAATAAAATCTTAAAAGCAATCAAAGGAAAAAAAGATTACTTCCAGAAGAACAAGAATAACTGCATTTTTAGTAGCAACAAGAATCATTGCATTGAGTATAAATGCTCCTGATAAAGATCAATGATTTTTTTAAGTCCAAAGATGTTGTTTATAGGAGACACAACTAAAACATAAGACTACAGAAAGGTTGACAGTTATACCATGCATCATGGTGGAAAAGTTATTATATGAATCATGTAACTATATTAATATTAGATGAAAGAAAAATTGAGGTGAAAAGCATTGTTGGTAATAAAAAGGGTCACTTTATAATAATATAATTTAATTTGCTGGGAAAACACAATTTTATATGCATTTGTATTACAGGACCTCAAGATAGACTTTCAAGAATAAATGTTAAAATCCACAATCACAGTGAAAGATCTTAACACATCTTTCTCGTAATGATAGAACAAGCAGATGAAAAAAATCAGTAAGAATACAGAAGATCTGAATAAAGCAGTTGACAGAGATGACCAAATGGCCATATATACAACACTTTATCAAACAACTGCAGAAAACACTTTCTTTTTAAGCAGACTCAAAACATTCATAAAAATTAACCATGCATTGGACCAGAAAATAACTCTCAACACATTTTAAAGGTTTAATAGATATTGATCTCTGACTGCAATGTAATTAGGCTATAAATCAGTAATAAAAAGATGACTGAAAAAAAAAAAAAGATACCTTAATGGAAATTAGAAAACATTTCAAAATTAAAATATGAAATTATAACATATTGAAAATCTATGCAATAACACTGAAGTATTCTATTTACAGGGAGATTTAAATACTTAAATGCATACATTAGATGGGAAGAAACCCTAAAAATTAATGGGCTAAAATTCCATTTCAAGCAATTAGGAAAAGAACAAATAAATAAAACCAAAGATAGTAGAAAGAAGTAAATATTAAATATGACATATTAAGGAAAATGACAAGAAACCTCCAAGAGGGAGAAATATCAAAATCAAAGTTGGTTCTCTGTAAAGACTGATTAAACTGACAAGCTTCTGGCAAGATTGATCAAGAAAACGAAAGCACAAATAACAAATATCAGAAATGGAAAAGGGGACATCACTACAGATGTTACTGTCATTTAACCAATAGCATGAGAATATTAGCATGCCAATATATTAGAAAATTTATATAAAAAGACAAATGTCTATTAATAGAAAATGTAACCTGCCCAAACTGACTTCAAAATATAAAAACTGAACGGTCCTCTAACCATTAAATAAGTTGAAGCAGTAGGCAAAGATCTTCCTAAAAGAGAAGGAAACTCCAGGTCCAGATAGTTTCATGAAGGAGTTCTATCAAACATTCACAGGGAAAATATTGCTAAACTTTTTGAAACTCTTCACAACAACAGGAAAAGAAGGAACACTCTCCAACTCATTTATGAAACTATCACAACCTTGATACCAAAACATAACTATGACATTAAAAGAAAGAAAAACTATAGCCTCAGTTTCCTCATAAACACAGATTACAAAAATCCTAAATAAAATGTTAGCAACAGAATTCAGCAATATATAAAAAACAATATATCTTGACCAAGTTTGAATTATCTCAGAAATACAAAGTTAATTTAACATTAGAAAAACAATCCACTTTTTTTGTCACATTAACAAACTGAGGGACATAAACCATAAAATCATTCCAATGCAGAAAAAGCATTTGATACAATTTGACATTTATCTCTCAGTAAATTTGGAGTTGGAAAAAACTTTCTTAATCTGATAAAGTCTAACTATGGGGAAAAAATATCCACATCTAGCTATATATTAATACTTAATGGTAAAACTTTGAAACCTTTCCATCAGATGTTGAGAACAGAAGGATGTTAATGCTCACTACAATTCTACATATAAAAGATTATTTTTAAAATCTTTTAGAAAAGAATATAGAAGAGTATCTTTATGACCTTAGAGTGGAGAAGGATTTCTTAACAAACAAAAATACTAACCATAAGAAAAAGACGGTTAAATTTAGCTATATAAAATTTACCATTACACTTGCCCGCTTTTGCCACTTCTGGTTTTCCCTATTATTCTCCTATTCAGAGAGTTCTGGAAGCTCATTATCAGTAGCTCAAGATCTTAGAGAAGATGAAGATGCAAGAGAAGATTCAATCGTTGAAGCTAAAAATGGTAAAACTGAGGAGGAAGAAGATGAACCCACAGCCATGAAAGCAGATAAAAAGGAAGCTGTGTCTGGTGCACTACGAGCCTCACCAAGGGCAGACCCGATTATCTTATTTTAGAAGGATATTTTCCAGTAAGTAACATTGCGAAGTTCCTGGTAGGCTTATCATCAAATCCTCAGATACATCATTCCAATATTCTCAGAACTGTTGCTTATATTTAATATATCCAAAATTTCATAGCTTTTTCTCTGAATATTGAGTGTTTCTTTATTTCTTTCAAGACTATGAAGAAAAGCAAAGAAATAATCCCCACAAAATTCAAAATAGTAGTTACTTCTACAGCATAGGAAAAAGGTTTGTAACTGAGAAGGAACACAAGGGGGTTTAGGAGAGATGGAAATTTATATTTCTTGGCCTAGGTGATAATTATATGAATTTTTGCTTAAAAATTATTTGTTCTATGTTTTATATACTTTTTCAGTATGTATACTGCATTTCACAATTAAGAATTTTTCCAGTGATTAGAAGGTCACAGCGATTAATTACCAAAGGAATCAAGGGTAGATCAACTGGCCAGAACTGTCAGATAAGACTTTAGAAAAAGGAGAAAAGGTGCCTCACACTTTCTCAATGCAGTGAAAGTTCAAGTTCAGTGAAAGTAGGTAAAATCTAGATAAAGTGGGAACTTAGATCCTCAGAGATGAATTTCTTGCCATGTTACCATTTTTCAAAGCACGAGAACAAAACCAGTACTTTTAAATTCCTGTTTCATAGTTAAAATATCAATGCTTTCAAGGAACATTTAGAGTTTAAAACAATGAATGAGAACTCAAAAGTGTAAACAAAACTGGCCATAGATACTCCGGCCTTCTGAGCAAAGCAGCATAATTTGTGTCCGTGGAAAATAAATCTCCCTGTTGTCACCCTCCTACACAAGGCTGATGAGGGAGGATAGTGTAAAATGTTGAACCTCTAATGATTCCCTGTGTCCCTGGGTCCCACGGCCCAGTGTTTTTCAGAACATAGGCATGAGTCTTAGGACAGGACAGGCTGAGCTCCCGTGCACGACACAGTAAGGCCATGAGGGTTTGGGGAGAAGAGCCCACAGGCAGGACAGGACTGTAAAACAGTGACTCAGAGGTCCGTTAGCAGGAAGAAGGGGCTACCCCAAATGCTAATATGCTACGCCAGTGGCTGGGAAGTGGGAAAATCCCTGAAAGAAAAAAACCAGACAAGGGCTGATTTCCACACGTAAACTGGTGTGAGGTGGAGAAAGAAAACACGTGGAAGAAATCAGAAGTCCAAGGGGCAGGAACCCCAGAGCCAGAGGTGGCCTCAAGAGCACAAGTTCTGGGCCGGGCATGGTGGCTCACGCCTGTAATCCCAGCACTCTGGGAGGCCGAGGCGGGTGAATCGTTTGAGCTCAGCAGTTAGAGACCAGCCTGAGCAAGAGTGAGACCACGTCTCTACCAAAAATAGAAAGAAATTAATCGGACAGCTAAAAATATATAGAAAAAGTTAGCCGGGCATGGTGGCACATGCCTGTAATCCCAGCTACTTGGAAGGGTGAGGCAAGAGGATTGCTTGAGCCCAGGAGTTTGAGGTTGCTGTGAGCGAGGCTCACGCCACGGCACTCTAGCCCAGCCAACAGAAAAAAGGGAGACTCTTTCTCAAAAAAAAAAAAAAAAGAACACAAGTTCCCTGGGAATTCTCAGAAATCCTCGAGGGGGTGTTGCCTTATGAAAGCTCCCGTATCAACCAGAGCTTATGTTTAATAAGTTTGCACACTTTCCTGTGGTCGATCTGTCTCTTGTTACAGAGGCCTCAGCCGTGACCCCAGATTGGGTAGAGAAAAAGCTATTTAGCCTCCCCTCCAAGCAGTGGAGTGAAGCTGGCGGAATTTGCTCTCTGAGCCTCCTGGTCTCGGTGTTCAGCGTCCAGTGCTGACCGGGATCGTCCCCAGCAGCCCCCACCAGGCTGGATCTCAGGACAGGACTCCGTCTTCATTCAAGTCCTTTCCCTTTCCTAATCTCCTCTCTCATCTGAACTGACCTGTTCTTTGTCCTAAGATCTTGAGGTCTTCCAGGGGTCTTAGCAAACCAAGCTTCTAAATTATCCCCGCGCAGATATTATGGGTGGGGGTGTCAAAGACAAAGCCGAATGTGTTGCTTCCCACGGGCAAGAACTGTGCTGCCCTCCTCGATCGCTCTGAGCAGAGTAGAATGCCGGCTTCATATGGGACTTGGGGCAGCGGCGTGCTTTGGGGGCGCGGGGAGCCCTGATCTACAGCACTTGCCAGTAGCCCTGATGTGAACGTTCCCATCATGGCCCGACTTCAAGCTACTGACATTTAACATGTGGCCCATGAAACTCCGGCATATTTAACAGTTGGCTCTTTTTAGTTTCCAGAGGCTAGTCCCATTTAGTGTGACAATCTGAGGTTTTCTCTTCGAGATAAACATTAGCAACTTCTTAGAACTGGCTGTACATAAACAAGGAACTGAAAGTATTAACAGGACACCAAACTTGGCTGGTTTGAAAACCGGAAAAAAGTTTGCATCTTGCATCTAATAAGCCCCATGCTCTCCCACGCCACTCTCCCCCCACGCCCACCCCAACGCCCCCTGCCCGCACGGTCTGCTGCTTCCCTGATCTAGGAGCACGGAGTAGGAGTTCTTTGTGACTGAGAGCTGGACTCAAAATGGTCGGCATCTCGTACCTATGTGCAGGCATCAACACCATCTCCGAGTTTCTTCAGCGCTGGGCTCCTTTCTCTCCTCCAGTTCTCCCCCTGCCCAATCCTTTGCACCTGGAGTAAGATTCCCCACTTAAACTGTGTCCACCCACCCTGCAGCTGAGAGTAGGGGCTTGGGTGGCAGAGCAGCCCCCCCGGGTTTAAGCTGATTCTCACTCACCAGCTGTGCAAGCTTAGTGTGCGTCACTTGGCTTCCGTGAACAGCAACTCCAGCAAGAGATCTGTGCATGCTACACTCAGGCCAGATTTGCCCCAGACGCTAAGGAGAACACTGAGACTGTCCCATTCATGCCCCTATGAGGTAAGAGAAGGAGGAGGATGGAAGGGAACAGAGAACGAAGAAGCAAAGAGTTTTGCAGAAATGAATAATCAGGCACGAGCCAGAGCTTTGCTCCGGTTCCCAACCCTCAGGTCCAGCCCCAGGCTCTCTTGCACCCTCACACCTCTCGGGTCTTCAGATCCATGGGCTTCCCTCATTGCGTACTCTCTGATCTCTCCGGAATGCCTGCCGTTGCTGGTCACCTCCTGCCCCCTCTGTTCTGGGTCATTCTCCGAGGGGAGAGGCAGCCCAGCAAACAGCTACCTGCCTGGCCCCTGCAGCCAGACTGCCTGGTCCTGTCCCTGCCACTGCCTTCTCGAGAAGGTGACTTACTCTGCTTGAGCCTCAGTTTCCTTACCTGTAATGTGGGAGTTATAATAGTGCCTACTTCATGGTATTGTCATGAAGATTAAATGATTTACTACACATAAAATGTGACACTGGATACAGTAAGTGCCACGTAAGGGCTTGTTATTGGAGCCTTTCCCACGCCTTCCCCTTTGTCCTCCTACCTTCCTCTGCCACCCGCCGCAGTTCCTCTTACCCGCCGGGTCCCTGGTCGCTGTGCTCAGCCTTCTCTCTACCAACGCCCACTTCCCACTTAGGGACTTCATCAGTTCTCCAAGTTCCAAACACTTTCCCTCTGCTGGTGACCCTCCCATCAGTGTCTGTGGCCTGGACTCCTCCTTCCCCTTCCTGCTTAGATGTGTCACTATCATCTCAAATCAAACATCCCCCATGGGACTCGTCTTCCCCTGAAGCTGAACCCTCTTCCCTGCGCCCATCCTGAGACTCTTCTAGCCTCCAACTCTTCCCTCCTACTTCCCCTAATGTCCAGTTCAGGACCGAACCCTGTTGTTCTTCCTTGATCTTCACTCTGATCCACCCTGTGCCCAGCATCCCCACCGCCATCTGGGCCATCCCAGAGCAAAGCACTACACGGCTTCATCACACATTCACACTCACACACTCTCTCACACACTCATATTCACACACTTACACACACTCTCACATACATTCACACACTCCTCACACACTCTAACACACACATTCACACATTCGCACTCACACACTCACACAGACCCACTTACATTTCCAGGGACCTCTGCTGGGGGTGGGTATCACTGGCCCAGCTGAGAATCACAGAGGCTCTTCCACTCGAATCCATCCCACAAACCCATCCTGGACAAAGCTGCGCAAACACGGATTACCCGAGACTCCTACACAGTCCCCCCTTCCTACCGGCACCCCATCGCCCCTTCTTTCCAAGGCCAGCCCTGCCCTGCCTGCCCTGGACACACCGTTCTCGGCCCTCCAGAGGCCTCCCCACGCCCCACTCTTCCTGCGCCTCCCCCCTGCAGCCCCCCTACCCCGCTATCCCATTCATCCTCCCCGGCCTGGTTTGACCTTTTCCTAACTGCCGTCTCCACCCCCAGGCCTGCTGCAAACCCCTTAGAATCGGGTCCACTGGGTTTGCCTGTGTGTTTCTCTGTCTCTTTCCCGTGTCTCATATTGTCAACAGAATTGGACACTCCACTTGTTGAGGACAGAGGCCACCCTTGTCTCTCTCCCCCAGGACCTGGCACAGTGAAAAATGGCAAACCCCTAGGTAGATGCCACCTTGCAGATTTCAGAGTTCTTGACCAAAGCCTGCCCACTCACCCCTGCCCACGGCCGGCCTGAGAGGAGACCCTTTGGGAGGATTCCAACAGGCAGAACCGGATAAGAACCAGGGAAACTTCGGCCCCTCAGTGGGTTTTCACTGTGCATTCAAAATCAGGGGTGCTGGTGCCAGCAGGTGACAGACTAATCACCTGAGGAGATGATCTGTCTCTGTCACCTGCTGGTTAGTTGGCACACTAGAGGTCAATGATGAAACTGGCCTCCTCTCCGTTAGCCCAGCCGTCACCTCACAAGCAGCATCAACACCGCAATGGCCGAGCTTTGCTGCTGGAACCTTTACCTTCCTCTGCTTGGTGGAGGTCAGTGCCGTCTCTTAAGTCTTCGTCCACCCAGGGGCGAGACTCGGTCCTGGCTCCAGGCTCCCCCTTCTTCCTCTGGATGTTTCTATCAGTATTTTTAAAGATCCACACAACCAAAATGCAGAGAACCGCTACCAAGACTGGAGTCAGGAAAAACATGGTTAGGAGTCTGATCCCAAAGCGCTCCCCACACCGGCGTTTAAACAGAGACAGGGGTGGGAAGTGCAGGGACGCGGAAGAAAGGGAGAGAGAGGTGTGCTGGGCAGGGAACAAAGTGCAGGACACTGCAAGGAGCAAAGATCACAGTCACGTGATCTGTGTTGTGGGTTTGGTCATGCACCGCGCACTTTTTAAAACTGTGTACGTGATCAGTATATTCTCAGGCAACAGTCGCTAGATCTGAGTAAACACTATGTGCCAGATCTTGCCCACAGGGCTAACAGGCATTGAATCCTCCTGCTGTATCGATTTTCTCAGGCAGCAGCGTGTCTTCAACTTGTGTGAAGCTAGGAGTCTCCTGGAGAGCTTGTTTTTGCAAGAGCAGATTTCCAGGTACCAACTCAGATCTGCTGAAAGAAAATTTCCAGGAAAGAGGTGTAAACTGCACTGTAAATGGCATGTTTGTGAAACTCTGCCCTGAGGTTCTACTTGTTTTTTCAATGATGCCTGAGCCAACATATGCAGTAAAAAAAAAAATAAAATCAGAATTTACAGTAGAGAAAACTTTGATCCAGAAAAAAGTGATACGGAAGCATTAACATGATAGTTTGATTAATTGTATAACAACTTAAGTAGGGCTTTTTTTTTTTCCCCCAAACATCTCAGTCAGTTTGGGATGCTATCACAAAAATACCATAGACTGGGTGGCTTAAACAACAAAAATTTATTTCTTGCAGTTCTGGAGGCTGGGAAGTTAAAGATCCAGGTGCTCGCCAATTTGACTTCTGGCGAGAGCTCTCTTCCTAGTTTGCAGACTGGCCCCTTCTTGCTGTAACCTCACGTGGCAGATGCTGGAGAAAGAGTTCATCACTCGCTTCTCTCTTGTAAGGCCACTAATCTCATTTATGAGGGCTCCACCCTCATCACCTAATCACCTCCTAAAGGCCCCACCTTCAGACCTCAAAATACCATCACGCTGGCGGTTAGGGTTGCAACATGAGAATTTGAGGGGGACATAAACATTTAGTTTATAACAGCAAGGGACCAAGTATGTATAATACGATGCCATTCGAGTAAAACAAAGTGGAGAATACTATACATTTATATGTGCTTATATATTCATAAGATTTTCTGGAAGAATATAAGTTTTAAACAGTAGTTATATCAGGACTTCTCCCTACTAGTTTTGCAATCGCTTATTTATTTCAAAATAAAGAATTAAAAAGAAAACTGGTTACTTGTTTTGGAGGGGGTGTGGTAACTAGATAGGTGAGGCGGGGGTGGGAGAAAGAGTTTTTATTGTTATGAATATATTACCTATTCAAAAAATTAAACACATGTTATTTATTTCAATGGTCATTTTGAAGGTTTTATTATATTATATATTATAATATTCTTTTTTGTGACAGACAACTATTTTTTAAACGTATGTCATACTGCTTCTAACTCCAGAGACCTGTGTGGAAGATGTAGACTCAGTTTGTTAGGGAGGAACTGGCCTCCTCAGGTGGTGCCGCCTGCTGTGCCCGCAGCCCTGGTGCAGGGAAGCGCTCGCCCAGGCTACTGCCAAAAGGGCGCCAGAGGTGCACCTCTAGTCCATGGGATCCAACCCCACACCTGACCCACGCAGCTGGCCCATATGACAGACAGCAGCCCATGCTGGGGCCAGTTTATCTTTTCATTACACTTAAAAAAAAAAAAAACCGAACGAATAAGCTACTCGGTAACAAGAGAGAAGCAGAGCAAGTGTGCAGAGAGCAGCAAGACCTGCAAGGCAGCAACAACGCACAGCCGGGAGAGACGGGGTGGGGGGCCATGGGCTGCAAGTGCTTCGGTCCCTGGTAAGTCCCAGGTTGGCTCAGTCCCAGCCCATGTCTCCTTACCCTCAAAGGATCAGAGGGAGCCTCCGTTGCTGTAACCACAAGAGCCCAACTCATAGCAGTGCCAGTGGCAGGACTGGACTCAGAGGAAACGGAGCGTCGGGAGCTGGTTACAGCACAGTGGTGGGTGAGGGGCGTGGGACGCACCCCCATCTCAGGTGACACCGACAGTGGTGGTGTGTGGTGGCTGCTTGGCTAATTGGGGTACTGCTTGGATCTTTTGGGTTTCAGACCATGTGTCCAGCAAAATGAGTCTCTAGGGGATTCTGAAACCATCAATAACCCCAGAAGATAAGAAACGCGAGACAACCACCCTGGACAGATGCTTTCCATCATGCTTGGCAACTTGCAGTAAGGAAAGGAAATGACTCTTGCTCTGGATTGCTTGGCTGGTTCAAGGCAAAGAGGAAAAGGAAGGTGATCATTTGTTCCCTCCCTCATTCATTCAACATACATTTTTGAGGTGTGGTGTGAAAAGCCTTGCATTAGGGGCTAGAAACAAAATGGGGCAGAACCAACGGCGCGTGCCTTCACGGAGCCACAAGCCAAAGGGGAGACAAACAGAATCGAATCTCACGAATTAACACCACATTTCAACTTCCATAAGAACTGCTGGGAGCGGAAAAGAGTGTGACTTGGCCTTGCTGGTGAAACGGGGCTCTCCAGAGGAAGGAGTTGAGCTGAGCTGAGCCGAGGTTGGAGCTGTGAGTGGGAGTCAGAGAGGAAGAAAGAGCCTTCTAGGCAGAGGGCACAGTGTGGACAAAGGCCTGTGCATTGGAAGGAGCTGGGACCCAGGGAGACTGGCAGGGGCTCAGCATGTCTGGAGGGCATGAGCAGGGCTTTCAGAGAGCCAGAGCCGAAGGAAAGTGCTAGATGACGCAGGTCTCTGTAGGTCATGCGAATAGTTTCTTTCCTTTCCGGTAAACGTAATCTGGAGAGGGGACGGTGACAGGTCAAGAACTGGGGACGCTGATGGAGTGCTTACTCTGTGGTTCCAGGTTCTCTCCTTAGCACTTTACACACGTTCACTCATATGTGCCTCACAACAACCCACGCCATAGATCCCGCTGTCATCATCATTTCTCAAAGGAAGAACAGGAAGCACAAATAGGTTAAGGAATGTGCCCCAGGTCAGTGTTAGAGAAATGGGCCACAAATAGCCCCTGTGTGTTCCCCTGAAACGGCCCCCTTGACACTTCTGCACAGCAGGCGGAGCCCTTGGCCAGAGCCTGTCGGTGCCAAACCGGCCCGGCTGAGGAGCGGGCAGCGGAGGTGCAGGTCTCTGCCTGGATCGGAGGTTCAGACTTCTCACAGCTCATGCTTGGCTTAGGAGGAATACAGAAAAGAGGCTTAAATATGTACAGCACAGGAAAAGGACTCGGCAGCTACTACTAGTGAAAGGTGGCCGGAGCAGGCGGTGGAGAGGAGCCGGGGCGGGAAATGGTGACACTGGGAAGGGAGATGCACAAGCTCCAGGGCTTTCTGCCCCAGCTGCCTTTTATCCCCAAGAACCTGCAGGCGTCAGTGAGGGTCGCCTTCCCAGGGCCCTTGCCCTTGGATTTGAGACAGGTCCTCTTCCTCTCCATGTGGATTCCTGCAATGCTCACCTTAGCTGGGCCCAGTGAGTCTTCACACTTCTCTATACCCAACGCTGTCTCCACGGCCAGGTCACCACTCTCAGTCAAGTCGGAAGAGCAAATTCTCAGTCAAATCAAGACAGCAAATTCTTCACGGTCACTACCAAGCCTGACCATAAAGTCTTCTCATTTCATTACTCATTTCAGATTCACTCTCTGTTTTAATCATGTAATTTCCACTGAAGGCAGAAAATTTCATTTTACTCTCGAGACAGTTCTACCCCTTCCAATTTAATGCAGAGACAGTCAGAATTCTCTCTCTTGCCCTTCCCTGGGCGCCCACAGAGTGTCCTGGTGCGGGGGGAGAGGCATGGGAGGGATGGCTGTGGGCCTGTCTTGGCGGGTCCCACTGAGGGGTACGGTCTTAAGCAACAGGCACCATGCAGGCTACACTCACACTGAAACATCCTAGGCCTCCCACCCCTCTGTATTCTCCGACCCCAGACCACAGGGCCCTGCTGCTTGGCCCATCCTCAACTGAGCTGCATGCCCTCCATTCTGAAGTCTCTTGGGGTATTTATTCTCCAGTGGTTTTGGAGACTGGGGAAGTTGGTGGGTATTGCCTCTCTTAGTCTTCTCTTTCACTTTTTGCCTTATATGTGTCTCTGTTATTTGGATTTTTTTCAACTAGTATGCACTTCTTTTGTATTTTTTATTGTGGTAAAATACATACAAAACTTACCGTATTAACCATTTTCAGTATACAGTTTGATGGCATTAATTACAATCACAATGCTGTGCAACCATCAACACTATTTCCAAACCTTTTCCACTACCACTATGCCAAACAAACTCTGTACCCATTAAACAAATAACTCCCCAGTTCCCATTCCCCAGGTAACCTCTGAACTAGTTTCTGTCCCTATGAGTTTGATGACTCTAAGTATTTGTACAGTATTTGTCCTTTTGTGACTGGCTTATTTACCTTAGCATGATATACTCACGGTTAACCCACGTTGTAGCCTGTGTCATAACTCTATTTGGTTATGACTCAGAATGTGCTATTTTTTAAATTAAAACCACAGATACCAAATAAATACTCTGCAGTGTTTTTAAAAAGCATTACAAAACAATGTGATGAGAGCTATGATAATGTGAAAGTTGTCAGAATCAAAATGGAGTCACTTGTGTTAAAAGAAAAAAAATCCCTGCAGACAGAGCCGGGGAAAGGCCTGCAGGGAGAGCTCTCATGCACACATGCCTGATGACAAGGACTCGCACAAAGGACTCTGCAAAAAGCACAACCTTGCACAAAGGCCGTCAAAACCTCCACAAAAGTACTTCTGGGAGGACATCGGCCCACCAACTGCCAGTCCAACCTCAGACTGGCATCACCCTTGTTACCGATCCTATAGCCAAGGATCATTCTCTCAGAACAATTATGTCATCGTCCTCATTTTGCCTTAAAAAACCTTTGTCTTCCTCTAGCTCCCTGAATACGGACGTAGTTTCTGTGGCATGCGTATTCCCACCGCACTGCCCTATCCCCCAATAAACATCGTGTTCTTTCAGGCAGCGTCTCTCTGTTTGTCACTTAGGTTATTAATAAATGTGCACACACAGGGTCCATGA